TAAATAATAAAATAAACTTAAATAATGGAACTTTTTTCATTAATCTAAGGTATAAGCTGTGAGAAGAAATAACTAATTCTGGTATGATGATATTAAATTGAATGTTTTCTGAGTTTTTCCTAAATACTTATGAAGTTATATTTATACTATTATTTATATCATGTCTTATTTCTTTATCATCTAGCTAAGAGATTCAACGAATCTTTATTTATAAAACCACTTAGCTGTAATTTTTTGTTAGGTAAAATAATTAGGAATTAAAGTATGTTTTATGGAACAATGCTTACTTTGAAGGAAAGATTTTTGGAGAAGCCTACAGACAGACTGAATTTTAAATAGTCTTCTTTATTAAGCCAAGTGAAATACAGTAGATAAAGCCATTAAATAACAATGGCGATACAGCAATTACATCTGACCTCTTTGCAGGATCAAACCAAAAAAAAAAACAGTTAAGTAGCCCTGGAGTTCAAAAAAATGATCTTAATAAAATAAGAGTACTAACTTACTCCTTGATGCTTTTATTAGCTGTGGACTTAAAACACATTGAATTGAATGCAGGCTGCCAAAAAAAAATCTTATGATAGTAAAAGAAGATTAAGGTAGGTGAGTAACCCTCAATTTTAGAAAAAAAAATGAATGACACTATGAAAAAAATTACCTTGACATAAACTCTTGAATCAAACAAAAGCCAGACATTTGTTGGAATTGTAATGGTTGGATGACTTCTAACGGATAAACTTTAACTTGTATCAAACCCTACTCATAATAGCTATAGAGATGGAAGCTAAAAGGAAAGTATTAAAATTACTAACCAAAAGCACACTACCCAGGTCCTTGTACTGAACATTTAAATTAGTTTCTTTTTCTCCAGTGAATATAAAGAGATCTGTGAGTCATGAGATTTCTTCCTCATAGGAATTCGTCTTTTCTGTAACTTGCCTGCTGCTATTCAGAAATCCATGTCTAAAATTTAAGCCCAAGAAGAGCTTCCTGAGGACAGAATAAGAAACTGACAAGGAAGGCCTTCAGGTTTCTTTTAAAGAGTCTGAAAAATGAATGAAATCACAGATGTAACTTTTAAGACAAACGTTTATCCTGAAAAATAGTGGAGACCACGTTGTAATGATAAAAAGGCAGAAATAAGTAAATATAAAAGAATTTTGCCTTCGTCACCTATACAATTAGTTTCTAAACAAACCAAACATCATCTACTGACTGTGGCAATGTGTGTGTTGACCATTTTAATCAACAATTTTAATCTCTAGGAAAATATAGGGATTACCAATTTAAAGATAGGCACAATGGATGGTTCTGGGGGAAAAATAAAGATATCATGAGCTCGGCTCAGAAAGACAAAGGCTGTATGTTTTCTCTCATTTGTGAATCTAAGATCCAAATACAGCCTCCAAGGTAAACATACAGAGGGAGAGATGGATACTTACATGACCCACTTGATTAAAATACTAGTATCTGCAGAAGTGAAACTCCATGGGGCAAACTTGTTGAACAATTAATAGACAGTGTAACAAAATGAGTATCAGGAAGCTGAGGGGTTTTTATTGGGTGCTAGTGTTAGTGGAACAGAGGTGATGAATGGGAAAAGGAACAGTAAACAAATTCAGTTATAATACACTGTATTTATGTGAAAAGGGGAAGTGGGGAATTCCATATGACTGGGGGGGGGGTTGGGGAAGGGTAGGAAGGAGGGAGAGGGAGAAGGATGGAAGGAATGACTCTACTCAAGATTCACTGCCCACATAAATGTGGATGTTACATTGTATTCCCTGTGCAACCATTCATAGATAAGGAAATTATGAAAATAAATACATAACAATAGCCAGGCACCTAGCTACTCAGGAAGTTGAGATCTGAGAATAACAAGTCAAAGCCAGCAAGGTCAGGAAGGTCTGTGATACTCTTATTGCCACAAAACTACCAAAATGCCAGAAGTGGAGCTGTGGCTCAAATGGAAGAGCACTAGCTTAAGCAAAAGAAGTTCAGGGACAGAGCCCAGGTCCTGAGTTTAAACCCAAGGACAGGCACCAAAAAATTAATTAGGTAATTAGCTAATCGTTTGTTAAAAGATAATAGAAGATAGACAAAATAAGACCAGATTTTTTCTCTCCCTCTTTGTCATTCTGTTTTGGCTGTCTCCCTGTCTCCCTGTCTCCCTCCCTCTCCCTCTCCCTCTCCCTCTCCTCACTCCCTCTCTCTCTCTCTCTCTCTCTCTCTCTCTCTCTCTCTCCTTTCTCTCTCTCTCTCTTTCTCTCTTCCCTTTCCCCTCCCCATTCCCCTATTTGTATATGTGGTCTTCAAAAATACATCTTGAATGACCCATCACCTCTCCTCTCCAAACACATCCTATGTCAAGAAGCTATACAATGAAGAGATCTTATGATGCAGATAGGTTATTAAAAAGTTGACAGGAAAAATATCTTCAAAGTGAGGAACTTCATTGTCGATGGTATCTTTAAGATGAAAAATAAAACTACATATATGTCTATTCCAGCTTTATGTTGAACCACATTTCATAACATACATCTTCACTTACTAGATTTAAACAAAAAACTCTAGGTGCTTCAATTTAATGAGAGAAAACAAAACAAATCTGATGCTTTTCTAACTTGAAGTGGGTCTCATCACTGACCACAAGCTAGTGCATATTTATTAATCACTATGAGAATCAGAAAGACAAATTTAATTCATTTTCTGGTGTAGACAGGACATTCTAGCCAAAGATTTCAGTAATAATTTGCAATCTTTTGTTTCATGGAATAAAAAGGAAAGTTTGGGATGTAATGCTATCATATGAGCCTTTTTTATCAAGAAGGTTTCTGAAATTCTAACTACAATTTAGGTTACTTTTGGGAGTGACAATATTCTACAAAGGAATTACTGAATTCCAGAGGGAAAATTCAAATTGTAGTTTTAAAACTCATTACTAATAATTAATAATGAACTCCAGATAAACAATAACAGGTGTTCCACTAATCTCAAACAGAAACAGATGGAATCACAAATGTTTTATAAATAGTGGATGCATGCAGAGCAATAAAGTTGGCAAAGATTGTCTTATTATCTAGTTGTCAGAATAAATGTTTCATCACTTGTATTTTTCTAAAGGCAGACTATAGCTATAGTTTTATCTTTATTTTTAAAACTGTATATCATATTTGGTGCTTTGTTATTCCATTCATGTATCTTCATTTACCATGACAGTGTGAATGAACTTTCCTTTGGTATGATATGACACATAGTGTAGACTGTTCTGTCTGCTTTGTCACCTTTATTTCTTTCTTCCCTTCCAACATCTAATAAAAAATTCTGTTGTAAAAGTTATTTCACTTTTTAGAAGCTACTACTAATAATTTTAGTGGCACAAAGAATATACAGCCTTTCTAGAATAATGACACTTCAAAGCTAATGGACATAAAGAAAACACTGTATTAGTTACTTATTTATTTGTATTCACCAGCAATATAAAGTCTTCTTATGTAGAAATAAGCAGTTGAATTTACAAGAGTAAAAGAATATGTATTATAGTATGATTTTCTTTTGGGCAGTTTTCTTTGATTAGATAGTTGGTATGCATGTGGTCAATACTATAGTGAAGCCCTTTTGTATGATTAATTTATGCTAATAAAATTAAGAATTGTATCTGTATATTTGTAGTCAAAGTCCTCTCTTTCTATGACATGTATCAAATGACCTTCCAGAATGTTGCCATCTAATTTTGGTATTTTTCTAAAAACAAATATTAGCAGTAATTAGCTTCACCAAGCAAGATTTCATAATTCTCAGATCTGATTACATTCACTTCATAACACATTAAAGATGTAGGAGTAGGGGCTGGGAAGGTGGCTCAGTGGAGAGTGCTTGCCTCGCTCGAATGAGGCCCTGGGTTCGATTCCTCAGCACCACATAAGCAGAAAAAGCTGGAAATGGTGCTGTGGCTCAAGTGGTAGAGTGCTAGTCTTGAGCTGAAGAGCTGAGGGACAGTGCCCAGGCCCAGAGTTCAGGCCCCATGACCGACAAAAAAAAAAAAAAAGATGTAGGAGTAAAGCAGGAGGAAGAGGAGGAAGAGGAGGAAGAGTATGCTACCTGATGGAATAAATGACTGGGATGAACTGAATTTTTCAGTGAGCTAAGATTCTCATGATCTTCTAAATTTCTAGGCCTAGACAACTTTTTATTTCTTTCAGATATGATGTTTGTGAATATATGCATAAATTCTAATTTACATTTTTGAAAGGTTTCTAATCACAAAGTTCACGTTCAAGAAATAAAAATAGTTGAACAACAGTTTCAGTTGTTCTAATGCAAATTAGCACCTTCATTAACAATACCATTTTCTTAAGGACAGTTTTTCCAGACATGAATATACATTCTGTCAGGTTGTTAACTATGAAAAAGGCATAGTACAAGAAATGAAGTTATTCATTTTAATTAAAATGTTAGTAAGTTTATCTTGCTTCACTCTGGACAATTAAAATTTGTAAAGAAATTACAGATATAGTATCTTAGCTAAAATTCTTTCTTCATTATTGATAATAACTCAATAGTTCTCTGGAATGGCTGAAGATCCTATGTAGATGAAAAGAAATCTACAAACTTTAAAATGATAAAAATATTTTCAATTCAACAGATTTCAGTATGAATTTTTGTACTGGTAAAAAAAAAAAGCAGGGGGAGGATATTTTCCTTGTCATAAGTCTTTTCTTCTAAGTTTACCAGGAATAAAATAATTCATGGCTTTATTCCAAGATGTTATTAAAGATATTAGCATTTTTATATATGAAGAGATTAGCATATTTTTAGCTTTCAGCTGACTTCATTTGCAATAGGCCATGCAGTGACTGAAAGCAAAATTGAAAGTCCTAATGCCAGTTATTATTTCTGCTTTTGGTTGACTTTATATCTATTCATGCATTATGCAGATTTTTTAATGAAATATACAGTTTAGTACATAAAAAAGCCAGCAGTCACTGAAGCAAAGACTATTAAAACAGACAATCACAAGACTTGTTTGGAATACCTGGTTTTAAATCCCCATGGACAAACATGTCAATCATATATCGACAGAATGCATACTGATCTGACAGAATAGAAAAAAATGAAAAAAATGTCATCAACATTTTTCTTTAGAAGAAGAAATGATTTAACAGAAAAGAATGATATAATTCTATTTGATTTAATTTATATTTTCTGTGAAGAAATAATTTGTACTCTTAGAAAAATAAAGGGGATAAAAACATAGTAAACACACCTTTTCATTTATTGCCAAACAAAAATAACCACCAATATTGCAACATAGTAGTTTAGAGTAATATAGTATATTTTAAAATCCAACTCTTTTTTATCATATTAAAGTAATTATTCTTTTTTGTCCTTTTGTAAAGTTATAATGAAGCACAAGTTTTACAAAAGAAAATTGTTTTCTGGCTATAAGTGTTTTGCCCAGTATTCACTCCTATACCCTCTGCTGGTTGTCTAAATGAAGTATGGATTATTCCCTCTAAACTGCCTGCAGGAGGTGAACGCCTTTGCAACTTCTGTGTGGAAATGCTCTTTAAATCGAGAAGAAATCAGGGAGAATATAGTAATAACATCAAATGATGGCACTGGCTAATTAGTTGCGTAATCTTCACAAAGTAATTTTAAGATCTTGAGCAGTATGTAGCCTTCCTGATTTCAGAAATTGCTATGACTTTACTCCCTCTTCTAAAGATGTTACACTGATCTTTATATTCCCACAAAATTCTACATATTCCTGGTCAGGGAAAAGCCAATTCTCAATGGAAGATGCTTCTAAGGTTCTCTGTAGCATCTTTGCACCATGCACATTAAATAAATTTTACATTTGATTGTTTACATTTAATATGCCTAGATTAGGAATTTTATTAATCCACCAAATCAAAGGGAGAATTAGGATTTTAAAAGTTTATTGATTTTATTCAGCATGACACATTCTGATGGCTTCAAATCATGTGTAACAAACAAACAAAAATAAACAACAAAGTTGTTAAGGCTAAGGATCCCCAAATGTGTTTTTTTTCCCCAAATGTGTTTTAAAAGACTATATCTGCCAAATGTGAAAATGATTCTTCATTTTTTTTTACTTTCCAAATGGTTTCTAATTGGTCTACAGCTTCCCAGGACAGTAAAGGAAGGTTTTGTGGGGGGGGGGTTGTTTTTTGTTTTTTTTTTTATGTATGTCTAATGTAAAAGTTAAGGTCTATCTTTTATTATGAAAGACAAATAGTAATTGAAATGTTAATTTCAAAGTTATAATGTGTGGTTAAAATGTTGGGCAAAAGTCATATTTCAGTTTCCTCTTAATGTTGACAGTGTAATGAAACTTTATAACTTGATCTGAATTATTTCCAAAGCACCATGCTTATATGTATTATACCAACCATTTTTGGCTTCAAAGCTCATTCACTTAAATTACTAACAGTCCAAAGAGCTTCTAATTTGAAGAAGGCAATCAATGGTGAACTCAAATAGCTTTTCTTTTCCAATTTGAAAATCATTCAGGTAAATATTTAAAAGATTTTAGCTATATATGAGTAATATTGTGTTGCTGCTTTTCAGTGGCATCAAGATATCAATGGAAACATGAGAGGAATATATTTTAAATGTTTTAAATTAAGAAGGTTGAGAGAGTTTAAGTTAAAACGTCCATTTTTTATCTGTCATTATCCCTGACCTCAATAATGTGTAGCATTTCTAGGAAGGACAGGTTTTTGGCAGTCCCCAGTGTTTGTGCTTCACTTGCTTAAGGACAGAGCAAAATTGAGCCTTTCTGCTTTTGGAAGAAGCCTATCCAAAAGCTTCTCAAAAAAAAGAAGAAGAAGAAGAAGAAGAAGAAGAAGAAGAAGAAGAAGAAGAAGAAGAAGAAGAAGAAGAAGAAGAAGAAGAAGAAGAAGAAGAA